GTGCCTCACTCGTGCAGGCAAGTGCTCTGCCACTGAGCTACAACCCCAGCCCTGAGGATTTCCTCTTCTTGGAAGCCTGTTAGAAAAGCACCAGAACTACAGCTGCAATCCTGTAGGCTAAAGTAGTCTTGAGATTTAGCAGGTCAGGCCCTGAGTCTTATGAACAACATCAACAACAACAAAAATGAAAATCTACCAGTAACACCTGACTGGATTCACTTAGTTTGCACAGATCTAGTGGAGTTCTGGTTAAGCCTGAGAGGCCACTGGAGATGAAGTCTGGTTATGTGCTGTGTTAGCTGAGTAAATACCATTGGCATACACATCTGCTGAAAAGCCAGAGTAAATAAAACGTGATGCCTGTATTGGAGAACTGAAAATGAAAATTCCTAGATGCTATAAATGATAACATGAGACAGTTATTGAGAATATATCCATGTCTGTATATGATTCTAACCAATGTGGATATGTCACCTCATTGAAACCTCCCAGCTAACTTAAGAGGTAAGTAATTTTATTATCCCTATTTTACAAATAAGGAAACTGAGATATAAAGTTTAATTGTCTAAATTCACAGAACTAGGAAGTAAGGGAAGTAGGTCTCAAAGTCTAGCAGTCTGATTCCCAGAACTTGACTCTTTTTTTATGGTGCTGGAAATAAAACCCAGGTCTAGCTCAGCTACACACTCAAACTCAGTCCATAGAGTTTGGACTTTTAACCACTACACAATACTACCTGATAAAGATAAAAAAATCCTTCTGTGTACATAGAGATGATTTCATGGACACGTAGTCAGGTCCCTGAGCTCAAAAGAACCCTGCACTTGGGATTTAACATTACTTTCATGAAATGTTTAATAATTTGAATGATTTTATAAGTGAAATCTGAAATGTGATGGGACAATTGCATATGCACTGACATCCTGGAGTCTCTGATAGAAAGAAGTTCCACTTTGCACCACCTCCCCACCTCCCTGGAGCTTCGATGTCCAATCCTGTGAACTTAATACTTGGGACCCTATCCAACCTCCCCAATCTCTGTCCTACCCAAGTGACAGCTACAACCCTACACCCTCAGAGGCCTAGACATGAACATAGGGAGGATTGGAGTCAGAGACATGTACTCTGGATATAGTGTCAGTTCCTCCAACCCCAGGATGTCAGTGCCATATTGAATTTGGCAGGAAAATAAGTCAGGCCTATCATCAACCCCATTCAGGCACCTGTACAGAAGTTAAAGTACTCTTTCTGGTTATCTGTCCATCATAGGTTGGGGCAGTCTGCTCATAGGAAGGGGATATACCTGATTTGACTTCCACCCACTGGCCAGGGAAAAATGCATCTATCCAGATGCTCATGGGAGGAGGAGCCTGCTATTCGATGGACCATGATATGTGTACCTAGTCACAGAACAGGGTCACTGGGAACCTATGAGAGTCTGCACTTGCCTCTCAAGAATCCCTGCACCCAAAAGGGTATGGCATTAAATAGCAAATTGAAAACACCACAACAAGTTGAAAATCAGACTGTAGAATAAAAGGAGAAAAGCTTCTTATTTGAATACATTTAATAGACATCTTTTCTGGTTTTTGAAAAAGGGGATTGGGAGTTACATTTGATACTGGTCCTACAAATTCTGTAACCAGTACTGATTATAAGGAATGTCCATTACTAAAGCATTTGGTATCCCCAAAAGTCCATCACTTCCCATATAAAAACAGCCTGTGAAGTGCTAACTGTCTCTTGCTTTTCTGAGGCTGTTTGAGGTGTGGGACACTTTCACATGCCAAGGAAATAGATGATAAGTTAACGTTTGCTGTTCAATCTGATGGGGCCCATTTTGGCCCATCCTCCCAAGCTGTGTTAAGAATCACATCATATGAAAGGATAGTAATAGAAAGTATTCTGGGGTTATGAATCAGGAAACCTGAATTCTAATTTTGCTTTTGCCACTGACTAGCTGAGTGATTTCCAGAATATTGCTTTCCCTTGGGGGTACTGTGAAAAGAGCAGGTTTGATTAATCCTAATGTTTTCTGATTGTCATTGAGTCTCTGGAGAGATGCCTCAGGGAAGGACAGGTGAGTATTATGCTATGGGTGAATCATACTTTCTGCAGCCAAAACTCTTGCACTTTTATGTTTCTGTATTTTTGGGCTGCATTGGCAATCAGTTAAAAAATCATTCCAAAGCTTAAAAAATTAAAATCCATCATTCCCTATTCTCTCTCTGAGTTCATCTACTTATGACTGCAGATTTGGAGTCTCTAACCTTGAACCACACAAAAAAAGAGGTTCTTGAATTGCAGAAAGAAATCTGTTGTGTCCTCCAATCAGAAAGCAAAGAAAAGCAAAAATCCAAGGAGGATGAAGGATTGACTTGGTGGTGGAGTGCTGAAAGTTAAGGTCAATGAAGGAAAAGGGGTTCCATTTCTCTACTTAGGGGTGACAAGAAACATTTACAAAATCAAGAGATTCAGCTAAAGTCTAGCACTCCAGTAAGTAAGATTTTCTCCATTACACAATAGGATATATCAATGCCTGGGGGAGAAAGTGGACCGAATAAAGAAGAAGGTTAGTTGTGAGTGAATTTCAACTCTGTTAATGTTTGTTTGTTTACTTTTAAGCCTTTACCAGGCAACCAGGCCCTAAGATGGACTTACGATGGGAGATGAAAAAAGTTAACCAAACATGGCTCCATCCCTCCAAAGGGTTTCAGTTGAGGTGGGCAAAACAAAAATTGGGAAAATGCACAGAATTTCACTAGAAAGTCAAGGATCACGAAACTATAATATACACACAAAGCACAAAGGGAAAACAGTTAGAATTCTTTCTTCCCTCTGAAACATCAAACAAAACTACCTAGAAAAGAAGATGGGATTTAACTTTAGAATTTAAAGATGAATAGGACTAAGACAGACAGGAAATAAAAAGATTTACATGCCATATTTAGGAGTTTGGAATCTGTCTTATATGCAAAGGGTGACATGAAATAGTTCAAAACAGCATGGAGGGTAAAAAAGGGTTGTCAGATTTACATTTAAACCACTGTGGCAATTTTGGTAAAGTAGATTTGATAGGATCCAGGGTGTATTCAGGAATAAGAGAAATAAGATTATTTAGCTAATCCTGGCAAGAAAAGAATGTGCCTTGATTTAGGACAGTGGCAGTGGCAGTGGAGAAGAACCTAATTCAAGAGGTATTTGGAAGAATTGACAGGATTTGATACTTGATAGAATGTAGGGAGTTGAGGAAGAAGAACGTATCAAGGATTGACACTTAGTTGTTAGCCTTTAATATCCAGGCAATACCATTTACACAGATGGGAGATGGGAAGAGGGAGGATTAGGTTAAGAAGGGTTCCATTTTGAAACATTAAGTGTGAAGTACCTGAGGAACTACCAAGTGGAATTTCTGGCTGGTAGCTCCAAATAAAGATCTAGAGCTCTAAGTGAGTTAGTTTTCACATGGCTACCAAGTAAGCCACATGACCTCAATCATAGCTAGGATTTGGGAGCTCATGGAGGAGAGCTACTAAGGCTACATAGTTGTTGGGAGTAGAGGTTGAAAATAAACTATTCTTGGCACCCAGACTGAGCCTGACCTAGATGTAAGTAAATATTACTTTTGGGGTTTACTTACAGCTTGAACCAGTGTGATTATTTCTTCCCAACTAGTCACTAGATTTTGGTCACTTTCTAGGCCTTAATTCCCTCATCTATAGAATAAAAAGATATTAAGGTTTATATTCTTCAGATGTGGGGTTATATTGTATGAATCTGTAGTTTATTGCTCAATATATTTGGTTTCACCATTTTGTGTATGTGTGTAGTGGTAGTAAGAGAACCTAAAGCCACATGCATTCTAAGCAAGCTTCCTACCACTGAGCTGTATCCGCCAGATCCATTGGTCAATATATTTGAATAAGAAAGCAATTTCTGTAAATTTGATGCATCTTTACAAACGCCGAGGTCTAGTCATGGACTAATTAATTAATTGTGATTATGCTTACACTTGTGTTGCCTGTTGAAGTATATTGGGGAATAGCAATGAACTTGGTCCAAGTCCACTCAGAATTTGCACACAAAAAAATTCATAGCAGTAATTCAGGGCTGGAGATTCCACTAACCAGTGGTCAAATGTCCTTTTCACAGGATCTTCCAATTGTATTTAGTTAACGTCCTCTACTGTTTGGCTGAGTATTACTCTAAGATTTATCCCTATCAACCTCAATAGTTGCACCTAAGAATTTATGTATATGCTCACATTTTACAGCCTTGAAGTGGCAGCGGTGGAACAGCAATTGGAAGATAAATATCTGAAGTCTTCTGAGTTCTTATGAAAGATATCAACTGAACCTTATTCAGCCTATGGTGTACCAAACCTCAATATAAAATGTGTGGCACAAGACAGTTATTTGCATTCTGGTTGTCATCCACATTCTCTCCTTTTGTTTCCACTTTTTTATTGGTGCATTATAGTTGTACATAATGATGGGGTTTGTTGTTACATATTTGTACATGCACACAATAGAACTATATAATTTGACCATTATCATTTTCCCTTTCCCTTTCCTCCTCTCACTCCCTGGTTCCTTTTCCTCTACAGATCTCCCTTTGATTTTCATGAGATCCCACCCCCGCCACCTTTCTTTTCCTTCATGTTCTTCAAATAACATAAAGTCAAATTATATGTTTTCTAACTTTCTTGTTATTTTACAATTATTTTAACTTATAACTAGTGCTATCATACAGGATCACCACTCAGATCGATATATCTATACCTACATTTCCATATTTCATTCACTTGTTTTAGAAAATATGTATTATTTTGTCCATATCCTCCAACTGCATTGCTGTTTATCTAAACAACTACTTCTGAACACTCAGAGCAATTCAATTGTTCTTACCAAGGCTTCATGTGCTGGCACAGAAAACACTGTGAATTAAATTTAAGTGAGTCTTCACAAAACCTATTATATTTTGAAATACACAATACTATATTAGAGACTGTGCCTCAGTATTTTCTGTAGGGCAATTTTCACTTCCTGATTTCTCAAACTGTAGATGAGAGGATTTAACATGGGGATCACCATTGTATAAAATATTGAGACCAGCTGATTTCCTGACAAGGATGCATATTGAGAGGGCTGCAAGTAAGTGTACATAGTTGTTCCATAGTAGAGACCAACAGCAGTGAAGTGGGAAGCACAAGTGGAGAAGGCTTTCTGTTTTCCAGAAGCTGAAGGAATTCCCAGGATAGTCATGAGTATAGACATGTAGGAGACAAGGATCACCACAATGGAGGTGACCAGCGTGAATCCTCCACAGATAACAACCAACATCTGAGTAACCCAGGGATCTGAGCAAGACAGAGCCAACAGTGGAGGGATGTCACAAAAGAAGTGTGGGAGGATATGTGGTTGACAAAATGATAGTTGTGTGACAGAAGTTGTTACAGCAACTGTGTTAACTAAGCCGCCAAGGTAGCATCCTGCTACCAAGAAGAGACAACGACCTCTCGACATGGTAAGGTGGTAGAATAGTGGGTGACAGATGGCAGTATAGCGGTCATAGGCCATGGAAGCCAAAATATTACATTCAGCAGAGGCAAATATTATAAAAATGCCCATCTGAGTCACGCATCCAAGGAAAGAAACCTCATGCAGCTGAGTTAATAAATTTGTTAAAGTCTTTGGGGTTGTGGTGGATGACAAACAAACATCAAGGAAGGACAGATTAGAGAGAAAAAAATACATGGGAGTATGGAGGCGGGAGCTGATTATTATCAAGACTACCAGGCCTAGGTTCCCCAACACAGTGATGATATAAACAACAAAGAAAACTCCAAATAGCAGAACCGCAAGCTGTGGGTTGTCTGTCATTCCAAGAAGGATGAATTTAGTCACTATAGATGAATTCTCCATTGACACAGCTGAGAATTATTGTAGACTAGTTAAAACTCTTCAGATATGCTTTAAGTGAGAAAATAAGACAAAACTGGATGATATGAGTAAAACAGCTCCATTCGAAGCACACAAATCCATGACACAATCCATCCCTTCTCCTCATCTGTAGTCTCACTTTAGACCCTTCCCAAACAGGTTCACTATTTCTCAGGCACAACATGGAAGAGGTAAAGACTAAAGGGGAAGGGGAAAAAAGGAAGTAAAGAAAACTCAGAAAGTAAAAGGAACACAGGGAAGAAAATAAAGGCCCAAGAAGCAAAAAGTTCATTATAATATTTGTGAAAGAAATGAGTGAGAGTTTTGCTCTTCACCAACACAGGACTACACACTCTTGGAAAAAATAATGGATTGGCCAAATTATATTGTTATATTGTGTGCATGTATGAATATGTAACATCAACTTCTACCATTATGTACAACTATACTGTACCAATAAAAAAATATGGAAAGGGCTGGGGATGTAGCTCAGTGGTTAAGTGCCCCTGGGTTCAGGTTCTATTCCCAGTACCCTCCCTCCAAAATATGGAAAGAAAAAACATAAATATGACAAATTAAATACAAAAATGTAAACAAAATAAAAGTGTAAAAGAAAAAAATTAGTGCTATGGACTTCCATGTTACTCTCTCTCCCCTTTTCAAACCACACCCAAGGAATTATTGGGAATTATTGGAAATGAGGTAACTGGTAAATATGTCAACCAATTTCATCTACAGAGAGGGTCCTCCTCCCACCTTCAGTATTGTGACATTTCTGAAAAAATAGAAGTCACCAATACTCACTATTTGTGTTGGTCAGTAGAGGATTTTCCAGGACCATGATCATCTCTCCATTGGTTGATTGTTGCAGAAATGCGGAATGCTCCTAAGTGACCATAAGAAACTGGGATCAAGTTTGAGGGTATCATTGGGTCTTATGAAATAGCAACCACAGAAGAACCAATACCATCAGGATTCTTGCAGCTTCTGGCTCATCACTTACCATTTCTTTTGACCATGCTTGGAACAAAGGGAATGCAAATGCAAAACTGTGACTTAGTGAACAGATATATCTGAGCAAAGGACCAAGTCCCCAAATGGTTGAAGTCATTTGGTATTAAGTGCATGGGCTCTGTCCCACTCTTTAAAGGTTACAGGCTATCTCTCCATGATGCTAGTTTGCTGCCTAAAAACAAATGCCAGGGCTGTGCCATGGATGAAGCACCAGATAAAATAAGAGATGGGTCCATGTAGCTCCATCTTCATTTATAGAATCTAAACCAACTTTGAGCTCCTATGGATCACTGGGTAATCATTGGTGAATCATGCCTAGAAATAGTTCCTGTGTTTAACTAGAGGCTGGACAAGGGGACCTCTGAAGGGAAACCCCAACTTTGATTAAAAAGAAAGTCATGAGCTGAGGTTGTGGCTCAGTGGTAGGGTGCTCACCTAGTATGCATGGGACACAGGGTTCAATCTTCAGCACCATACAAAAATAAAATAAACGTATTGTGTCCAGCTAAAAATAAAAAATAAATAAATATATATTTACAAAAAGAAAGTCATGGACTAGAAATGTAGCTCAGTGAAAGGGCACTTGCCTGGCACACACAAGGCCCTGAGTTCTATCTCCAGCCCTGAAGAGAAAGAATAAAGAAAGAAAGTCATGTGTGTTTGAATTCACCCCAAAACACAGATTCATTACTTGGTTTAAGGTCTCTGATTCTGAGACCTTATGGTTGTTTTTGAATCCTGGCTCAGGAGTTCTAGAGATCTACAGCACACCCTATCTAAGCTTTAGTGTACTCTGTAAGAGGGATACAAGTAGGACCTCTGTCATGGGGCAACTGTGAATATTAAATGAAATATTGCAAGTAAAGCACTGGGTACATATTAGGTGCTCACTGAATTATTTTCTTCTTTCCTTCAGGACAACTCCACTTGTATATTCATTACCTTTTCCACTGTATTTCACCAAGTGGAAGCAGAGGTATTGTGTATATGCAATTGGTATCATTTTAGATTGATAGAAGTGGACCTTAGAAAAACCAGTAGAATCATAATTCCTATGCCCCACACTCTTACTCCCCTTCCCACACTTATAAAGTGTGGCCAGAGCCAATGAAAAGAGGTTCTCTCAGTTGTGCTAATTCATTTTGTTGTTGTTGTTGTTGTTCTACCCAAACTGCTGGTGTTAACTGCTACTGCTACTGTTTAGCACAGCAACCTGCCCAGTGGAATATTCTGCAACTTATCCCTCCAAATGGGGAGATTGAAAGAGAAAAGAGTGGGATGAATGAAGGTTAATGGAAAGACAACTGCATTCTGTAACAAAGACATGAGTTCGAGTCCTCAAGATAGTTTGTAGTCTCTCAGTGGTAGATAGACCACTTTAACCTCTTTGAGTCCCATATTTTCTTATCTCAAAAACAAAAGAAAACAGTACTCCCTATGCCTCTTTTAGGGTTGGCATGAAGATCAAATAAAATAATGAATGTGAACGCACTCCGTAAACTCTGAAGGGTGATATAATACACATGGAACAGATCCCTATTATTATTCCATCATGGAAGGTGGGAGAGGGAGGAGGAATGCGTCAATGTGATCATTTTCTGCTGCCTGCTCCAGCTCATGCTTACAGAGCTGCACTCCTTGCCTTCCCACTCACCCCCCCACACACACATCATCTTCTCTGCCTCTCCACTGTGAAAGTTTCAACCTGTGAAGGTTTAAACAAACAGCTCCAGGCAGTTCACATACCTTGTATGATGAGAAAGACAGGCTTTTTAATGTTAGTTTCACATTCTTGTGTCATCTTTTACATTTCCCATTTTAGGATAACTCTTTTCCCTGGCATCCGCATGCATCGTAGGCATTCAGTAAATAATACTTGAATGACTAAGTGACTGTTAGTCCTTAAAACATGGTGAAATCTTTTTTTGTTTAAAATAAGATTGAATTGCTTTTTCTTCCCAAAGGAAACAAACATGTAAAATTAAGACTATAAAGGAAATGATTTGATACTCCTATCTACACACCCCACTGCTTTAACTGCTGTCATGATAGCAACCAGAAATGGTTTATTATTATTTTGGCTAACATGTCTTGGATATATTTACTTGTTGGAGATGAATGGGCAATTTAAATTGATGAAGAAGTGACATTTCATATTTTTTTAAAAAATTCACTCCTGTACCCATTTCTAAAAGCATTTAAATTTAGAGTACTCATTCTTTAAAAAGTTGATTACTACCTTGCTCAGTTCTTCAGTTATGTAGTTCACTGTGAATCTTCCAAATATAGGCTAACATTTGAAACTTAAGCAAAGTTTCACTTATTTACCCATTCAATAAAAATTTCTCAGATTTTTAGTAAGTGCCAGCCTTCCAAAAAATCATCGATTCTAATCCACTTTTTTTCTAAGTAAAGAAAAAGAAACCCAGAGAGATCATATGACTTATCTAAGGTCTCAGTGAACCAAGTAGCAGGGTTGGTGCTGGAACCCCAATCTCCTGATCAAATTCAGTGACCTTTTCATAAGACTATTTTGCTTTACTCTTAACTTGTTTTCTGAAGTTATTGTGGAGGAAACTTTCAACTTTGGTGCATTCATTTCTCTCATAATAAATGCAAGGTAATTCTTTGTCACTATATTTAAGCTGTATGACCTTGAGCAAATTGCTTGCTTGTTTGGGTCCTAATTTTTTCATCAATAAAATGGAGCAGCTAAACTACGTGGTCCCTGAGGCTCTTTTCAGCTTTGAACTCTAATTTCCCATGACACTGGGAGTCAAACTGCACAAAGATCACTGGTCATTCTCAGTATCTGATGGAGAGAATTTGGAAAGCAAATTTCTATGATTCTGTGAGTTTATGCTGTACAAACCACTCTGCCCTTCTTTTTTCTCTTCTGTTTGTTCTCTGTGCAAGGCAGTTAGGAGCACTGAGGCAACAGCATGGTATGTGGTAAAAGATTTGGTCAAAGCATCCACACACATCCTAACAGAATAATTGGCCAGATTGTTTAACCTCTCTGGTATTTATTTCCTTATCTAAAGTAGAAATCATATTACCTAATTTAAATGACTTTTGAAAATTAAACAGAAAAATTTAAATTGTTTAATGTATATTTAGGTGCTCAACAAGTCTTAAAAGTCTATGTTGTTGTATGATTCTATTTCATCTTAAAAGTCTATTTTATTGTATGATTCAATGTGTGTGAAATGTCCAGAAACTACACTATTTGTTGGTAGGGTCTTGAAGAGTGATGCAAAAATGAGAGGAATAGAATTTCTTTTTTGAGTGGTGAAAATGTTTGAAAATTGATCACAGTGATGGATGCAAAGCTTGGAGTATGTTAAAAAATATTGAATTGTATAATATATATATATGTATATATATATATATATATATATATACACATATATATATATATATATTCTGATATGTGAGTTGTATCTCAATAAAGCTTTTATCAAACAAAAATATCATGATAAATACTGGAGAATAAAAAGTTCATTGTAGATCAGCCATCCTTGGCTGTATCTACATCCTTCTACTGACCTACAGCAGAAAACCCTAAGCACCGGATGAGATCACCAATTTAGAAGTACTTTGAAAAATTTAGCAATGACAAAAGGAATATATTCAAAGGAAATGATAAAAGCATAATTGGAGAAATAAAGACTTGGATGAATGGAAAGAGATACCTTTTGTCTGACTGGCAAAGCTAAAATGTAAGAAAGATGATACTTTTTAAGTTAATGTATAGATTTAATGTAATATCAATTTAAAATTCTACAGGATATTTTACAGACCATAATAAATTGATTAGATTCACCTGGAAGGATAAGAAGCCAAAAATGTCAAAAGATATTATTTTAAGTAATGATGGCAGAAAGCCTCTTAGATTTTAAACTTTATTGCAAAGCCATACATATAAAAACCTGTTGGACATTGGGTTAAAAACAAAGATTGATGGG